TGGGGACAACCCCAATACTTGAAATGGCGCGCGCTTACGGTCTCCGTCCCCGATTATGGCTCCTGGTTAAGTCTAGTTTGGACTAACCAGTATAGAGACGTTGCCAGCGACTCAACGAAAGTACAAGCGAGAAGAGTTTTTAAGTCATTGTTAAATATTGTTGAAAAATAGATTCTTCGAATTAGTTCTTACACAGTTTTTGATATGTAAATTTGGTTTAATTATATTGCTCTGACGTCAAAATACACGCTGGATTAATTTAGGCCAAGGAATTAAAACTTCTTGCCCTCAGTGATGTAAAATGTAAATTAAAGAGTAAAGTGCACTTTGAGGATTATCCATATAGGTAGTGTTAGTTTCTGATAAAAATTCAATCATATCTATATCTGCTAGAAGGAGATATGGTGAGCTAATTCTTCTCTGGAATGACTAAAGACGGGATAATGGCTTTAGTGTGATAACTATGAACCAACTCTTGACTCGTTTTCCAAAACTTTTAATTCACGTTCCGTCCACACGGCGGTTTCACTCTGAAAACCATTGTTTTCCGTCCACAATGTGCCAGAGAAATTTAAAAACGCAACAATCACCGATCATTTTGGATTTGTGGTTCAGGACTTCGAGGAAAACTTGGGCAGGGATATCACAAGATTATCGCGATTACATATTTTTTTCGAAAAGCTCCGTTTTACCGTCCACACTTTCTCTGGTTTCAAGGGCGTTTTCGAAAAGCTCCGTTTTCGTGACAGATTAGTGTGGACTGTAGGCCCAACCGTAGATATAAAGCTACGTTTTCAAATTTCTTCGGCGTAGTATGCACGCTGCCTCAGTTCGCACTGGTAAGTAATTTGTTCATTTATACCTTCACAAGAATCTCCTTTTAGTACGTATCCTGGTTTACAAACACAGTGGTACTGCTTGCCATCTAGTTTCTTCACGCACTGTTTATGAGATCCACACGCATCGTTATCTTTTCCTGGAGTACATTCCGCACTGCTATTATTGGCTGCAAGAAATCAATTAGATACCTTTACTTCCATAACTTGTAAAATCCTGGACTGGTAAGTAATTTGTTCATTTTTACCTTCACAAGAATCTCCTTTTAGTACGTATCCTGGTTTACAAACACAGTGGTACTGCTTGTCATCTAGTTTCTTCGCGCACTGTTTATGAGATCCACACGCATCGTTATCTTTTCCTGGAGTACATTCCGCACTGCTATTATTAGCTGCAAGAAATCAATTAGATACCTTTACTTCCATAACTTGTAAAATCCTAGATAGGAGAGTTCGGAAGTGTTTAAAATACATGGGTGCATGCTTGCAGCGGCAACTTAGAAATAAAAGGTACGTCAAAGCTCAAAGCTGACTTGAAAAGACTAAATAAATAAAATGATCTAATTACAATATTTAGAGAGGAAGCCACATCAGCCTTAGCTGGTTTTTACGCGGGTCCTCTATCAAGGTGGAATTGGAATTTGGAAATGTTGGTTTATTAGGAGGGAGGAAAACGGGAGAACCCGGAGAGAAACCCTCGGAGGAAGGCGAGAACCATCAACAAACTCAACCCACATATGACACCGGGCCGGACCATATTGATGAATGCGAGCGCTCTCACCACCGCACCAGCCCTGCTCCCCAAAAACTATACAAGCTACACGACTCAATGATATCGGATGTACAGTTGGACCCCGCTAATTTGAACTCGGTTATTTCGAATTCCCCGTTATTTCCAATTCAAAACCATTTCCCTCGGATTTTCTCTTCAGTCATTTACTAAAGGCTTTCTCGCACTCCCGCTAATTCAAACGAACTATTTTTTGTTTCCCCCGAGAATTCAAAATAGCGGCGTTCAACTGTAGTTATTTCAGCGGGCAAGTTGTTCCAATCATTGATCGCTCAGCCAATAACGGTATTTTCTCGTGGTTAAACTTGAGGGAGAGTGAAAGCGACAGGTAGAGATTTTTTGAGGAAGGGTGGGATTGACAGGTTCAGAGGAGATTTGAAGCTGGAGGAAATTAAAGTAAGCTTGTGTAGTTTGTATGCACAGAACGGAATCTTGGTACCTCTTAGGGGTTTTTTTCAAAATTTCCGGCGAGCACCCCCGTGCTTTTGATATGGCAGTCTCCCCTCCCCCCCGGGACCAACATATGACAAAAAAATTGGGACAATGAAATGATACACACCCTCTTTGGAATTAAATTCTTATGATTAGGGATAGTGGAGATTCTGTTAGTGTCTGTTAGTCCTATTCCAAGCTCTGTCAGTGTTGTTTCGCATTTTTTTTTTTTTAGTAAAATTCAGTTCACTTACCTCTGACGACAGATGAAACGAAAATAAAACCAATCAAAAGCAATGTAAACAATGAAGTCGTTTTCATTTCTGCATTTTTATAGTCGCTGGTGGAACAAAATTAAAAGAAATGGTAACAAGATGTTGGTTGAAATGAATATGTGGATACAAAGCAAATCGAAATTATAAGAACTGATTTGAAAGGTTTTACTTACTGTAACCAAGAGAAAAATCTCTTGCTGTCACCCGTCACAAGACAAATTAAAGAAACAATATTAAGTTATTGCTTCGATTTCTGACCAAATTTGTCAGGACAAAAAAATGAATTTATTTCAGCCAGTTACTCTAAATTGCAATTTTATATATGTGTTTGAAATAATTGATCGAAAACAGAGGACGATAAATTTTACTTCCTTGAAACTGATAAAATGGATTCCTCTAAACTGACCAANTTTTCATAGTCGCTGGTGGAACAAAATTAAAAGAAATGGTAACAAGATGTTGGTTGAAATGAATATGTGGATACAAAGCAAATCGAAATTATAAGAACTGATTTGAAAGGTTTTACTTACAGTTACCAAGAGAAAAATCTCTTGCTGTCACCCGTCACAAGACAAATTAAAAAAACAATACTAAGTTATTGCTTCGATTTCTGACCAAATTTGTTAGGCCAAAAAATGAAATTATTTCAGTCAGTTGCTCTAAATTGCAATTATATATATATATTTGAAAGAATCGATCGAAAACAGAGGACGATAAATTTTACTTCCTTGAAACTGATAAAATGGTTTCCTCTAAATTGACCAATCGGTTATTCAGGGCATATTCTGGTTGCAGAAATTTCTGCTAGCTAGAGAAGCCATTTGTCGCTTCAAACATCGCTTTTCGCCGAAGTTAACGCTTCACATTTGTGGGAATATTTTGAAAATTTGTTTACTTTTCTCGCGCGTTAAATATACCGTTTAAATTCGTCATTTTTACTCGCATGTAACGGTTTTTCCCTAGCTATAGAATGAGCGACCTTTGAATTTCAACTAAATAACAAGATACTTTCCAAGCTAATGTACCTTTTCTTTATACCGTCAGCTGAAATGAGAGTCGAGAACGCTTTTCCATCTCTCTGCAAACCGCTACATTGTCAAATTAAGTCAAAAAGACCTTTACGTCATAATGTTAATCAGCTATTAGAATAAAACTGATATCAACTGACGTCAGTTTTTTATGCGTCTGTCCTTTTACTGATGATAAATTGCGTCATAACATTGTGAAAGTGGCTGTGAACCACGAGCCGCAGGCAAGTGGTTCCGCAGTAAACTGCGCACTCAGTTTACTTTTCAAATTTTATGTAGTTTTGCTTTAGTTTTACTTCAAACTGACTAAAAGATGGGTTACACGGCTGCAAACTACGCTGTTGAGACCCTCACGGTCTAGTGCTTTTCATGATCGAAATGTTTTCGGTAGGAAATGAAGATTTCGTTTGAAAATTCATACTTTTTGATGCGTTTTCGCCTGTCGTTCACACTAAAATGACCGAGAACGATGATGAAAACGGAGGTTTCCGAATACGGTTTAAAAAGTGGAGTCGTTTGAAACGCTCCGTTTCTATTGTAGGTCTTTCTAGTGTGGATACGTGCAAACGGAGGCTTTTGAAAACGGCGCCGAAAAAAAAAGCGTCATATCGTAAACTACCGCTCATAAGCCCTGGGATTATACAACTTCGCAAGGGCTTAAAGATGGGCTTATAAACGGAGGGGCTTATATCCGAGGGGGTTTATAACCGGAATAAGAAAAACTGTTTAGAAACGATCTATAGCTGCACATGTTGATTAAAATAGGTTTTTCATTTTCTGGCAACCGCGCGTTTAAAAATCATCATATTAAAACGAATTCAAAACAAGGAAAACTAGAGGAGGGTGGCTTA